AAACTAACATGAAAACAAGTGTACCAGTACTGATGAAATTTCACAGAGTATTTATTCCCTGAGTCTCTCACTCTCAGATAGTTCCTACTAAGCATTCTGCCACAGCACAGCTGCCACTGTCTCCTGCTGCTGCTTATGGTTCCAGCCTTTGTTGCTCTTTATTGCTCTGACTTGTCTTCTTGCCCCATGAGCTTTGCCTCTCCCTGTCTTGGAGCCTCCTTCCCACTTGCTAGCAAAGTCATGCCTTAGGCCCCCAACACCATCCCTCTAGCACTGCCCTACAGATGGGTTCTTACCACCATAAATATGATATCTAATGTTTATTCCTTCTAGTACCATCCCATGTGGGACATGTTCAGACTTAAGAGAGCACTTCAACATCCTGGGGCAAGTATTACCTTCTCTCCCTCTTATAGAAAAGCACCAAAGGTTCAAAGTAACTTTGGCATTAAAATATTCCCCTTTTTTGTAGGAGAAAAGGCCCTTCTCAATCAGTTCATTTAAAGTCCAGTGGCCAAGGCTGGGCCCATACCAGATGTTACATGATGTGAGTCAGCCCAGTCCTCCCAATCCAGTTAAAACCCCTGGGCTACTATAAACATTTAGCTGAAGAAACTTATTATTTCCACTGAGAACTGTGACAGCAAGCCCATTAAATAATTTGTATTGCCTAACAGTAATATGGTTATTATAAAAATGACAGAAACCCTGAATTGGAAAGGACCTCATATTTCATGTAGGCCAACCCAAACCTCAAAAGAAATCAGCTATATAATATATCCTACAAATGGTTATCCATCCTCTACTTGAAGACCTCCTGTGAAGAACAACTCAATAGATACCTAGATAGCCAATTCCATTTTAAAAGTTTTAAAGATTAGAAAGTTTTTCCTTTTATAGTACCAGAATCATTGTAACTTGTGCACTTTTGCTACCAGTTCTTTTTGGGGCCAGAGTGAGCAAGTTTAGTCACTGTTATACATGACAGGCTTTCTGAATACTAGGAAATAGTTATCATGTCATTTCCCATATCTTCTCTTCTCCAAGCAAAACAGAATTTATTAAATATTTTAAATATCAAATAAATATTAAATATCAACAAATATTTAAATAAGCATGTTCTCCACACTTCTCACTATCCTAGCTGCCCTACCCAACACAAACTTCTGTAAACATCATTTCTAAAATATAGCACCCAGAACTGGATATGCTATCCTGTGTTTGGTCTAAATAGGGCTGATTACAGTGGGACTATCAACTCCCTTGTTACACATATAATGCCTCTCATAATGTAGCCTAAGATATAGTCAGCCATATACATATATATATATACACACACACATACATATATATGTATGTACTCATATATACATACATAAAATATATATACACACAAAAAACCTTATGAGAGAAGCTGTTTACATAATATAGTTGGTGTGAGGAGCTGATTTTGTTGTGAGAAAGTTTTGATTCTGGAAGCGGATTGGAGAAAACAGCTTCCTATGCTGTATGAAGAGGAATGGGGAATGCCTACCATGAGCTCCAGAGTCATCTACAACTTGAGGGAAGGGAAATCTTTCAGAGGTTTGCCTGCATTGCCCTTTACTGTTTTCCATGATTTGATAGGGGAAATCCTTCAAAGCCTATAGAGAGCCAGCCTGAATAATTTTGCAGATCTGAGGCTTAAAGGAAACTGATTTTCACTGGAAAAAGCATGTGCCTAACCAGGGGAACAGACTTGGGAAGCTCTGTAAATCCCAAGCTGGAGATTACTGTTAGCTAAAAGAGCTTAATACTGCTTCAGCAGCCCAAGAGTAGCAGAGAAGTATCTTCATCCAGTAAGAGATCAGAAAGGCTCAGGAATGATCCTACCCTGTAGGTGACAGATAGTATAGATTGTACCTAAATGAAGCCACAGATTCCCAAGCCTGAAATCCAGACTTGTGAATCATCCCAGGCCTGAAGTCCAGAGTTCTAACCTAGGTACATAGATTTTCCTACTTATGTGACCCAGTGCTAAATTTCGCAATTTTGTGTTCTTCTTTCCCCCTGGGCACAGTATGTATTAATGGGAGAGTGTGAACCAGATTTATCAGTGGGCTGTTGTGTTTTCATAATTATTGCTTCTTCCTTCTATTTAGTTAATATAGTTTATGATTATTTTTCCTTTTGTCTTCTTGCTTAGTAAATATTTCATATTTAAGAGTTAATGATGTCGGGGCAGAGTACCGGCCCTGAAGTCAGGAGTACCTGAGTTCAAATCCGGCCTCAGACCAAACACTTGACATTTACTAGCTGTGTGACCCTGGGCAAGTCACTTAACCGCAATTGCCTAAAAAAAAAAAAAGAGTTAATGTTGTCATTGAAACTGATTTGTATAAATGAGAAGCACATCAGGTAGGGCTCAGGAGCTCTAATAGTAAGTAATTGATGTGTCTCATCCTCAACCCCCACCCATCAGGGTTATCCTCAGGACCCTAAGAGAATGAGTTATAATTGTATGGCAAACATGGCCAGGTCTTGACGGGGAAAATAGACTTGCCAGTGTGAATGTAGTATGAATGAGTAAGCCATCAAGAGAGAAGGGAGGGAGAGTGCCACTCCTGACCACACATGTACATGGTGGGGGGAAAACCTGCGTGTATATACATACATATATATCAGGTATGGATTTGGCTACTTAGATATAAAGTAGTTTTTATGAATGTCATATGGTATCACAATTATTATTTGTTGAGCATTCACTTGACATTTTAAGCACTACTTATTTAAAGTCATGCTTGTGTGTGTACACATGTATATGTAAAATTTGGTCCTTACTGGATCTCTCTCTCTCTCTTTCTCTCTTCCCTTCTCTTTTCACTGCTGCCATCTAGCTAGCCTTAGCTGCAGCCTGCTCTTCCCCAGAAGAAGAAAGATTGTTTTTACTATCTCTTTCTTAGCTTATAGTCCAAAGATTAAGCTTCAGATCTTTTACAAAAGCAAGCTCTCCCATATCCACTTACCAGACTAGAGGAGAACAGACTTCTTTTCATAGAGAGAGAAGTCTGTCAGTTTTCAGAGTTTTCATTCCAGATTCTAAACTCTTTCAGCATACAGATCAGTCAAAAGCTAATAAGAAACCACAAATATTTATTCTGTCTTTTGGACTCACTTCCCTAATAGCAGGATCAGAGTCTGTCCCAAGCTTTTATCTGATTTAGTGTTAGACAGTCTTCTTTAACTCCAGTCAGTTCCTGACTCTCAACCTTCATTCCCACAAATCACAAAGGTCTGTGTGACTCTGAGGTGCTGCGGTTTCCCTAAGCTCTCCAAATCCTTTGGCTCTTTCTTAACAAAAGAAAGGGAGAGGGAAGGTGGTTGGCAAATACAAAAAAGGCTAGGTGGAACCAGGCAGAGCTATCATCCTCCACTTTGCAGCAATTGTTCTAAATTCCTGTCTTTCATGTGTAAATATTGGCTGACAAGAAACCTCCCAGCCTTGAAAGGCCTACCAAGAGCACGACTATCATCTGTGTCATCTATTTTATATGTCTTATTAGCTATACTTGTGGTTTTAAACAATGCCTTTGATTCAGTCAACATAATATCATCATGAAGCAACCTAGCACTCATATGTAATGTACTTGAACTAAAGAAATCAAATCAACAACAAAATTCCCCACAATATATAAGCCTTCCCATATGGTGAGAGAGGCAGCATGGTACAATCACCAGTCAATATCTCCCCAACACCATGTCACCACTTGACCAACTGATTTCAACATGGTTTAACATTGGTTAGATTTTACAAAGCGATGTTCCCTGGGATTATGTTGCAAGGACAGAACAAAATCATCCCCCAGAACTAGGGCATACTCTCTCTTCTGCACATCTTCTCAGTCCCTGGGATGGTGGCCTTAAACTTAAAATGATTATTACAGAGCAATACGTGCTCGACCCCACCCCTGTTCATTTCTAGTGTGGCATAGCTTATGACCTTTGCTTGCAGACCACAGTATCTCAAGTGCTGGGTCAGTTCACTGCTGGTCTGGATCAAGCAGGCTCAGCTGCTATGGCCTCCAGTAGTCTCTGCTATGGAATTCCATTGCTGGGCCTCTCATGGCTCTTTCTGACCTACAAAGCTCACAAGGTAATAATTGCTCCATTCCATTTCTGATACTCATTCACCTGAGAATAGGAGAGAATAGACACAGCAGAGATAAGAAACAAAGGCAGATGTGAGTTCACAGCCAAAGGAAGGCCTAGGAGGGCAGATGAGGCAGATAGTGGTACCTATTACTTCTCTCCCACCCAGAGGCTTACATCAGTTCTTTCCTCACTTGCTACCAATTCTTCCATTTGTTCATGCCTTTTGAATACATATTCAATTCCAGCTCAGCAGCCAAGTAAAAGGCAGGCAGGAAACAGTCCCAGGTGCATGCTGTGAATCAGGGAGGACCCCTTCATCCCATCATGGGTTTCCAGAAGCAGGTTCACCAAGCCTCCGTGGAGAGTGATGCCAGGCAAAATATATTGTTCATGTTCCAAGAACTGTGGCTCTCACTGATCAGTACCCTTTTTATGGGACAGTTATTGTTTTATGTTCTATTTAAGCTGAAGTATTCTCCATCCCCTGAACAAATCTAATTCTTTATTTTAGCAACCAGGTACCATAACAAAATCCACAAATGTGAATGAATCTAGAATAAGGTAAATTCTGGTACCTGTGTCAGTGACTATCAGAAAGAGTAACATAATAACTAAGAGGGAATAATAAAGGATGTCAAGTAAGAAGATAAATCTATTAAAGACTCATTGCATAAGCATTAGAATACAGGTCAGATGGAGGTTGAGAAGGATCCTTTTGTGTGCTCAATAAAAATGGAGGATTATTTGGATATTATTTGCATGGTGTTATGCAAATACTTTTTTCTCCCTGTAGCTTAGTGTATTTGTATTATACTAGTCCCTATTCCCTTCTGCCCTTTTCCTAATCAGAGATCAATTCATTTTTACAGGGTTTGCCTTGAATTTCCTGATGGGCTGGAACAATTTACCTCATTGGACCCTTGTACACAAGCATCAGGGACTAAGTGCACAGACCACCACCTTTCAGTCTGACAACCTGTCTCAGTGTTGAAAAACAGTTCAAGGTAGCACTCCAGACCAAACATGTCATTTTCCTTGTCAAAATGAAAACTGTAAATTTTAAACCTAATGCTTAATGTATCTAGATATTGAACACAGAGACTTTTATCCTCAGCTTAATGGTCTGTCTAAAAACATCAGAAAAGATTACTTAAAAACTCATGGCCTCAGAGGTCCTACAAAATTACGTGAAGCTCTTTTTCCCCTCCAAGTTTTAAAAAATTTATTGAAAAACACTTATTCAGTATATAAACTACTTCTTAAGCCTTGATTTCTTGGACTTTGTGCTTGAATGCTTACGAATGGAGTGAGAAGGGAGGATTGAAAAGAGAATAGCATGAAATTTTGTTAGGTTATGATCCAAAATTTTAAGAGATCTTATTTTTGAGAATGATACTTCAATGGATCTATGATCTCAGGAATATGGAAATTCAGTCTAATGCTACAAATTACAATTTATCCCTGTGCTCTCAAACTGTGAAACTCTTGCTTATGCCTTCCTGAAGGTCCTCCACAAAGGAGATTTCTTGACATTGCATGGATAACACAGGAGTGTGGGCACTCTTTATCAGTTAGCTTTATCCTTAGCTCTTGCCTCATGACTGACCCACCTTCTTTTCCACCATAAATCTCTCCAATGACATCTTTTATGTTTCTTCTCTTTTGCAATTCTTTGCTGGTGAGGTTCTGCAGCCTGCTTACACCCACCCACTCTGTGCCTTTCCATTGTCCTTTGGGTGACCCTCAACTTTAATTCTTTGGGTGTTGTGGTATTTCATGACTCACAACAATGCAGCATGACCAGTAGATAATTGGTGTTGAAATATGGGCCTTTGTTTCATTCAGGAAGAATCCTGGATTTATTAAAAGCAGTACACAAATTCTCAAAGGCAATATAGCCTATTATCCTGTGCACTTCTGAGAACAGCTCATTGTCCATATTAAAGTGTGTCCCAGACATGATATTGGGGTGTCCATCCAACTGCATAACATAGATTGGACCTTTTCAGCCTTGCTTTGTATTCTTCCTCTTTACACACTCTACAGACCAGTCAAATTAGCCTATTTACTATTCTTCAGGCTCCATTTCCTATCTCTGTTCTTTTGCAAAAGCCACATGCTTGTAATGCACTAGCTCTTCGTATCTTAAAACCCCTAGTTTCTTTCAAAACTAAGCTACAACATTGCTTTCCTGATTCTCCCACCCTCAGATAATACAATTGCTTTATTTTTATTTTTATATATTTATTTTATATACACATATACATGAAAGTATTGTATATGTTGTCTCCCTTCAAGCTTCTTGAGGGCAAGGACGATTTTGTCCTTTGCATCCATTCCTAAAACCTAGCACTATACCTAGCACTTCATAGTCATTTAATAATAGTTACTGTTGATTGGACAATAAGTATTCTTTATCCTTTTGGACTTTCTTATGTGGATAATTAAGCTGAATTCTCTTGAGAATTTATAGATTTCATTTAGGAGGCCCTGCAGTGGTCTGGGCCTTGATTCAGTCAGCACAATGCAATTCACAAATTATAATAGACCGTACTATTTAAAGGGAATCTCTCTTCCATCTGAACTCTGTTCAGTGGAAACAGCAATAGTGGCTAACACCTTTAGTGGGTATATATCTGCTTTTTAAAAAAAAATCTTTGGGGCAGTTAGGTGGCTCAGTGGATAGAGCACTGACTGGGGCAGGAGGACCTCAGTTCAAATCCTGCCTCAGACACTTAACAGTTACTAGCTGTGTGACCCTGGGCAAGTCACTTAAGCCCAACTGCCTCGTCAAAAAAAAAAAACACTTTGATTGATTGATAATAATGATCAGAAAGTTGTTAGGCAAAGTTGTCTATATTGCTACATCTTAAGCTTGGAATTTTGAACAATCTGAAATATCTGACATATCATTATGATATTTGTATATATATTTAAATATATGTATACGATATCATACAGATACATATACTTAATTATATATCACTCTAAGAATGTTAAAAGCCCCTGATCAACATCTTATTGAACAGGTGAAAAGGATAAGCACATTTTTACCTCATATAATTTGATAATAAAGATAACCAGAGCTTCTTTTGAACTAGACACAGGGCAGCTATGTGGCATGCTGGATAGTGTGCTGGACTTGGAGTGAGTAGTAGGTGCTGAGTTCAAATCTTGACTCAGATACTAGCTGTGTGACCCTTGGCAAGTCAATTAACTTCACTTAGCCCATCACACAGGGTTGTTATGAAGTTCATAGTAAATAAGATATATAAAGTACTTGACAAACTATAAAACACTACGTAAATGCTAGCTAGCTGTTGTGGAACCTCATCAGAGTTAGATTTTGCTATTGTTTGGTAGTTTCAACCCTGTCTGACTCTTTGTGACCCCATTTGGGGTTTTCTTGGCAGATACTGGAGTGGTTTACCATTTCCTTCCCCAGCTCATTTTACAGATAGGAAATTAAGGCAGACAGGTTCAGTAACTTTCCCAGGGTCACATAGCTAGTAAATGTCTGAGGCCAGATTTGAACTCAGGAGGATGAGTCTTCCTGACTTCAGGCCCAACCCTATCCAATGTGCTGCCTAGCTGCCCCAGTCAGAGTTAGAACAGAATAATAATTGAACAGGAGTACCTATAGAGTTCCAATATTATCTGTTAGCCCTCCCTGACACAAAGGAAGAAAAGTAATATTGAATCCCCTAAGTTTGATTAAAAATTGGGTTATGAAAAAGTAATCTAGGTATATAAAAAAAACCAAGAGTAGAAACTAAACAGTGAGCCATATTATATGCAGAACAGTTTTGTGTAACAGATCTTGCTTTCAATCTCTCATGCCATTCCTATGGAAAAGATGAAAAGGTGTGGGCTAGTCAGTAGGGGACAATAAAATTAAGCAAATTCAAAATGTATTGAATGTCTAGACATAATAAAAGTAATTATCAAGGTTTGGATATCAACCTGAAAGAAAGTCTTTAGTGGAATTTGTGTTTAATCCTATATGCTCTTTAACATTTTTATCAATGACTTGGATGAAGGCATGAATGGCATGTTTATCAGATTTGCAGATGACACAAAGCTGGAAGAAATCACTAACATACTGGATTACAGAATCAGGATTCTAAAATAATTTGACGGGCTAGACTGAACAAAATAAAGTGAATTTAATAAAGATAAAAGTGGAGACTTGCACTTAGAATATAAAAAATCAAATTCACATTCTTCCTAAGTAGAAGATTGGGTGCAGGAGGAGAAACAGAGTTAGACAACAGTTCTCCTAAAAAAAAATCTTAGGGTTTTAGGGAACTGTGAGATAAATATACATCAACAAGATAACATAGTACCCAAGAAAGTTAATGCTATTTCAGGCTGAATTAAAAGAGGCTGAGCTCTCAGGACAAGTCAGGTGATGCACTTACTTGCCCTGGTCAGCGCACATCTGGAATATTGTGTTCAGTTCTGGGTGCCACATTTTTAGAAGGATGTAGAGAATAAGATGGGGGATGTCTAAAAGATGGCAACAAGATGATAAAGAGCCTCAAGATCATGCCATATGGGGATAGATTGGAGGAACTAGAGATATTTAGCATGAAGAAAAGAATAATTATGGGGTCATCATAACTGTCCTCAAATATGTGAAGGGCTGTCATGTGGAAGAGGGAGAAGATTCATTCTATTTAGTCTGAGAGGCAAGAACCAAGAGCAATGGATGAAAACTTCAAATAGGCAATTAAAGCTTAACAATAAGAAATTCTTCCTAACAAGCACAGCTATCCAAAAGCAGAATGGTCTATCTCAGGAGGTGGTACGTTTGCCCTCACAGCAGGTCTAGAGCAAAAAGCTAGCTAAATCCTTCAGGGTGTGTTTTACAGATAATCCTTTTTCAGGTATGAGTCAGATCATATGGCTCTTGAGGTAGTATATAATTTTTGGATCCTGTGATTCTTATTGATGTAGCCATTCTTTGTAGTTAAGTTCTGTCTTAACATAAACAGGCTAACTCACTGTGTAACACTTCCTAGGCAGTTTATCTCTTTGAGAAAATGAGAGGATTGAACAGAATAGCTCCTAATATTCCTTCCAGGTAAAGTAGCTTTTAATTTTAGAATCCTTGTTTTCTCAGCAGACCAAGAGTTTAAAATGAAGGCCTTTTCAGCCAAAATAATTAATTACCCCTTTGCCAAGAGAGAAGGTATGAACTATAAAGTTTAGAGAGATTTCCACTGCTTTGGAATGATGCTGTCTGTTCTCATTATAGTGTATAGAATAGGTAAGTGGCAAAACAAAGTAACTGAGCATTTCTCTAGTTCCTCTCTAAAGAATGCTTTCAATATTTTAAGTGCTACAAATTATCAGAACATCATCTATACATTTAATTTCTATAGTACTACAAAATATTTTCAAGACATTATCTTACAATGTAAAAACAGATATATACTTCATATGCCATGTCTATAAGCCAGCCATTTAAGGTTGACTACTCTTACTCCACTTTGGGACCCACTTGTACATCTGACATGACAATAATCAGAACTTTAACAGCCTTAGCCCAACAGCAGAGCTACCTCAATCCTCTTTTTTTTTAAGAATCCAATGTTGTAAGTAGACTAAATCAGCTGCTTATGGGCTAATGGAGCTGGGGTGATCTTTGCCCATTAGCAGCTGCTTGAACAGCAGGATGAGAAAAACTCTGTTTCCAATCAGTCATAGCTGACAATATTGGTAACAGTATGAAGGTGAACTTACATACTGAGTATCCTCCAAATTACATAATAATTTAGATCTAGAAAGGAACATCAGAGATCATCTAGCTCAGATAAGGAAATCAGAACCCAAAGAGGTCAAGGGATTTCCCCAATGTCATGCAGCTAGAGAGATATTGAAGCATGCTAGAGTGGAAGTAAGGACTTCAGGTATCTTCTAATCATAGACATGTAGAATCAGAGGATTTCCAAATTGGAAGAGACCTCAGAGACCATCTATTTCAACTCATACTGAAAAAGGATCTTCTCTGAACCATACCCTCTAAGTAATTAGCCAACCTTCACTCCATACCTCCAGTAAAGGCATCCTCCCTATCTCCTGAAACTTCCATTCCACTTTGGGATAGCTCTACTTGATATGGTTTTTTTTTTATAATATCAAACCTAAATTTACCTCTTTTTGACTTTCAGTCATTGCTTCTAGCTCTTTCCTGTGGGAACAAGCAAAACATCTTTTCCTTCTTCCACAGGACAGCCCTTGACATACTAGAGGTTAGCTATGATGGCCCTATAAGAGGCCTCTTCTCCATGCGAAACATAGCCGGTTTCTTCACCCTATTCACATATGGCATGATCTCAAGCCACTTTACCACAGTTTTGGGTCTCTTTTGGCCACTCCCCAGATTATCAATACTTTCTTAAAATGTGGCACCTCAAACTGAACACAGTATTTCAGGGCAGAGGACAGTATGACTACAATCTCCTTATTTGTGAACATTCTTCCTCTCTTCCTGTTGTCTAACACCATCAACCTTCTTGACTGCTTTATCACATTGTTAATTTATATTGAGCTTCACTGGTTGAAGTTCACTATAATCGTCAGATCTTTCTCAGAAGAGCAATGGCATAGCATCCTGATCTTGTACTTGTGAAGTCAGTTTTCTTAATTCAAGTGTGGATATCACAATAATCCCTACTAAATTCCATCTCATTTGATTCCATTCAATGTTGTAGCCCATCAAAATCTTTTTTGAATTCTGTCATCTAATCTGTAAGTGATTCCCTCTCAAGGGTGCATCATCTGCAAATGCAAATCCAAACATCCAAAATGTTAAACAGCATAAGGGCAAAAATATATTACTGTGGCATGCTACTGTAGATTTTGCATATGTAATCATTTGTGATTACTTTGGGGGCCTAACCATTCAATCAATTCCAAATCTGCCTATCTCTCCATCTTTTCCATAAGAAGAACAAGAGAGAATTCAACAAATTTTTGTTGTTAAGTCATTTTTCAGTCATGTCTGACTCCTCATGACCCCATTTGGGGTTTTCTTGGCAAAGATACTGGAGTGATTGCCATTTCCTTCTCCAGCTCATTTTACAGATGAGGAAACCGAGGCAAAAAGGGTTGAGTGACTTGCTCAGGGACACACAGCTAGTAAGTATCTGAGGTCAGATTTGAACTCAGGTCTTCCTGACTCCAGGCCCTGCGCTTTATCCATTGCATCATCTAGCTGCCCTAATTTAACAAATGCTTTGCTAAAATTAGATAACTGTATCTACAGCATTCCCCTGATCTACCAGTCTGTTAAACTTTTCCCAAAAGAAAATCAGGTGAGTCTGGCATTACCTGGTCTTGGAGACAAGGTTCATTATGATCACCACTGTTTTTTCTAGAGGTTGCCTACCTATTTAATATTTGGAATTTATACTCCAATTCCTATCTTCTGTGGAAAATCAGACAATATTTGCCCTTATTTCTCCTGTTATCCACAGTGTTTAAAAGACAGTACATATTCCAGCTTTTTCAATATCCTACAAGGGTGGAGAATCTGTGGCCTCGAGGCCACATGTGGCCTTCTAGGTCCTTAGGAACAGCCTTTTGACTGAGTCCAAGTTTCATAGAACAAATCCTTTTATGAAGAGGATTTGTTCTGTGAAGTTAGGATTCAGTCAAAGGGCCACACTTGAGGACCAAGAGGGCTACATGTGGCCCTTGAGGCTGTAGGTTCCCCACCCCTGTACGTAGGACATAGATCTTTTACTGTCTCCCTATTCATATTGGTTACCAACTTCCTGTCCAGTCTAATGAAAATTCTTCTTTGCAGAAAAACAATAGAAGCAAAACAATCATAATAATAACAATAACAATAATAATAAGCACCTCTGCCTTCTCTCCATGGTCAATTATTGTTCTGTCTACCTGAGCAATGATCCTATAGTACTCCTCTTTAACCAAATATAACTTAAAACTTAAATCTATGATCCTGTTATTTATTTTACAGATGAAGAAACTGAGGCACAATAAGGTTGAGGAATTTACCCAAAGTCAATTTACTGAGGTAAGGCTAGAATCCAGGCCTTCTGATTCATAGGTCAGTTTTCTTTTTATTATGTCATATTTAACCCTCTATGTATGTAGGTGGCCAACAAAAACCAAATGAATGATTTATTGGTTTTATTCTAAAGACTTTTCCATCAAAATATCATTATGCTTTTTTTATTTCCTATATTCTTCTACGTCCTTTTTGTCTCCCTTTTTCTTCTTCCCTTTCCTTCTTTTTTTCCCTTTTCTTACTTAGGTTTTCACAGATTGCACCAATGTCTAGAATATAATCATTCTTCACTTCTACTTCTTAAAATTCCTCTCTTCCTTCAAGGCTCAGTTCATGTGCTGTCTTCTGAGGGAAGACTCTTTTTACTCTCAAATAATCATATATAAACATAGGTGTTTACATGTTGTATCCTCTCAGTAGAATGTAAGCTTCTTGAAGGCAGAGACCTTTTTTTTTTTCATTTTGTTTTTGTATCCCTAGCATCTAACACAACACCTTGCACTTAGTGGTATTAATAAATGTTTGCTGGATTGGCATAAAAAGAAAAAAGTGACTACTGTTAAAATTCACTTGGGAAAAAAAAACACTAAAGTACACAGCTACTATTCATCACACATACTGAAATTCATCACTTATTCTTCTCATTTTAAAGTAATATGTACAAATGTCCATCATAAAAAATTCACATAATTTTTACTTTTGAAGATACTAAACCACTTTAAAGAATATTAAAAATCCTTCCCTACAAAATATTTTGATTCAAAAGGTGTGTCTTTATTATACTAGTTCAACTTGTTAGAAGATGAAAAATACAATCAGTTCATTCAATTCCATGCCCTTCTCCCTTTTTAAGAGGAGAGTTATGGGGGGAGGGACCAGGAAGATACTGTCTTAAAGATTTTAAAGTTTGATATTATGAAGAGAGTACTAGATTGGAAGCCAGAGAACACGACTTCAAACTCAGCTCTCCTACTTACTACCTGTGTGAACCTGGAGCACATCACTCATTTTTTCTGAGTGTCAGTTTCTTCCTCAGTAAAATGAACAGGTTGGACTAGATAATTTATAAGGTCCCTCCCAGCTCTAAATTTATAAAGTTATTTTATCTACCTAGAAAGCAGAAGTGGGCATTTGTATTTAACTCAACTAGCTACTGGTGACTTGAGTTTAGAATTCAGAACTCCAACAAAATTTTCAAGTTTTCCTATCTCCCTTCCAACCCAAAGTCACACTCTTTCTAGAAACATCTAACCACATAATTTTCATAGGTCCTTTAAAAACCAGAGTGTCATCTTCAACACTTCCTTCTCCCTAACTACCATTTTCCAATCAGTTGCCAAGTCTTGTCAATTTAACTGTTTAAACATACCTCACATTACATGGTCACTACTCTACTTCAATTTCTCATCAGCTCTCACCTGTACTATTGAAGCTGATTCCTAACTGGACTCCTGACTTCCGGTTTCTTTCCTCTCCAGCCCATGATACAACTACCAAAATATCTTCATGAACACACATTTAATCATATTACTCCACTGCTCAAGAAATATCAGTGGCTCTCTATTACTTCTCAGAGAAAATGCAAACTCTTCAGCTTGACATTTAAAGCTTTTTACTGTAGGATTCTGGTCTGCTTTTTCAGTCTTAATTCATATTACACCTCTTCGCACAACTTACATTCCAGCCACACTGACCTACTTTCTGTTCTCTTAACCTGGCATTTCATCCTCTGCCTCTGTACATTTTCACAGACTGTACCAATGCCTGGAATACAATCTTTCATCATTTCCACTTAGAATTCTTCCCTTCCTTCATGTGCTGTCTCCTGAAGGAAGACTCTTTTTACTGTAAAATAATCATATATAAACATACGTGTTTACATGTTGTATCCCCTCAGCAGAATGTAAGCTTCTTGAAGGGAGAGACCTTTACTTTTTTCACTTTGTCTTTGTATCCCCAGCATCTAGCACAACACCTTGCACTTAGTATTAATAATGCTTGTTGGAATGGAGTGAAGAGAAAAAAGTGACTACTGTTAAAATTCCCTTGAAAAAACACACTAAAGTACACAGCTACTATTCATCACACACACTGAAAAATTGTATCAGCCCTGAAACTAACACTCCTTTCTAACTTTCCATCCAGCTTAATTTAATTTAACTCAATTTAGTCTAAAGGCTTAGACTCTGCATTAGGCTGTCTTTTAGCTTTTTGAAGTGAAAATAACATTGATACTTGAACCTGTGGACCCATTGCATATTTTCTAATGTCTGTGTGTTTGTTTGAAGCTTGCAATGAAAAGCAACTATTAAAAAATAATAAATGTGTGTCCACATTTTGAAATGTCAGTAAATACACTATTTATATGACAGATCATAATGACTTGTAAAAGGCAGCCATATGTGTATGAAACTCTATCTTCCTGGAGTTCTTTCCTTTTCTTTTCTTTTTCCTTTCTTTTTTTTTCTTTTAAATCAGAGAAAAACAGCACTAAATAAGAGCAGCATTTAAGGAATTTTAACACTTTCACACAATTCTGAGTTATAGCTGATGTTCTTGGCCCATGACCCACTCCTTTGCCAAGAAGAATCAGAGGAGCTTTTCCAGAGTGTGGACTGATATCACATCACCACATCTGGGGCAAAAGTGAAACACAAGAAAAATGAACTAAATAGAGAATATTTGAGTCAGTTCCTTGGTTTTTCATACTCTGTTTCACTGACTTACAATGCCTGAAGCAGTTCATAAGCCCATGACAACCATAACATTCAGGATTAGAAGGGTCCTTAGAGATAACTTTGTTCAAGCCCCTCATTTTACAGATGAGGAAACTGAGACTGAGAGTGATTAAGTGACTTGCCATGTTTGTAGGTTTATTATCAGAAATACAGGCATTAACAGTACTTTGCTTTCCAAAAACCTTCCAAAAACAAAACATTTCTAAAACATCACACATATGACAAATTTTAAATGATATAACCAGAAATCAACCAGTTAAGGACAAGTAGAGGGCAAGTTGTTACTGACAAAGGATGTTTTGGAGATTTTTATTTTTAAGGAAACAAATTCAAAAGATGGCCCTTCTGAAAAATGCTGGGGGTGTTAAGTGTTTTCTTAGGAGTGAAATCAAATAGACCAGCATAAAGCTGGTACAAAACTTCTGTTTCTAAGTGATTAAGCATTTAATCAACATTCATAGTGTTACAAATTTCACAGTCCTGTATACATAAACTGTATCTTAAAATGCACAGGAATGATATCTGGAGCATAAGCTAGCCTTTATTCTGAAGCCAGTGTGTAAGTGATCTTTCCATAGACAAAAGCTTTTGCATTTATACTGACTAACCATCTTTCTTTAGAAAAAAGCTCAGAATATACTTTATGGGTGCCAAATTTCACAATAGAAAAAACTAAACAATTCTAGCAAGGTTTGAGGAGCCCTCAGTAAATCCTACAACAATTCTAGTCATCTGTCAATCAGGATGTTTCTTATAAAGAATTGTGTGGCATTGCTACTGTCTATTACCTGTAACTATTCCTTTCGGTTCACTTGAGAATTAAAAAATATATATAATAAATGCATTCAATAATTGTTCAAATTGCTGCTGTGCATTCTGTCATAAATGGTTTATGGATAACCATCAATTGGTTCTGCTCATCAGTCTAACAAGTTCAATGTACTACTCAGAGCAGAGGAGGACTATTTATTTAACAGCTCTTGGCAGGAAAATTTGTTGCATGCCACAACTTTACAAAGAACATTAAAATCAATGACAATTTATAAACCAAAGCCTGGGAATTATGGTTTGGATTCCCATAATTCATCAGAATAAAGCTGTCAGATAGCTTTTATTATAAATTAATAGCATGTTGTCTAAAAGCTTGGTAGTGCAGATTTTTTGCCAGTTCAGTACTGACATCTAGTGGTCAATGGAAAAAATCCCTGATTTGAATTTGAATTGTGAATTTTCTTTCATTCCCAAAAGTGTTTGTTATCAATCATGAGATTTTATCGTGCTAGAAACTGGTTGTATGCTCAAAAGTATATGACATGCAGCAGAATTTAGTGCTAAACATTTCCAAATTGTACATCTTAAATTATGCAAGTCTAATCAGCAAACAATCTTTTTCATTGTTTCTTTTATATTCTTTTTTTTTTGGCTAGGCAGTGGGGTTAAGTGACTTGCCCAGGATCACATAGCTGCTAAGTGTTATGTGTCTGAAGCCGGATTTGAAGTCAGGTCCTCCTGGATCCAAGGCCAGTGTACTATCCACTGTGCCACCTAGCTGCCCCTTTTTCATTGTTTCTATATGATATTTTAGACTTGTTTTGCTACTTCTTGACTGATTTGATCCCTATCCCTTCACTATCAAAATAATTTTATTCTAATTCAATCTCAAAATCATAAGTGTTAACTAATGCCCTCTTATTAAAAAAAAAACAGCAACAGAGAATTTTCTGTATTTCCAAAATGCTATGCAATAATTTTATTCAGAAATTTGAAACAACAATCCCTATTTAGAACATATTTGGTTTAAAGGCAATAATCATACTTGAATTAATTTTTGCACATACATTCACCTATAAAAATTGATTTGTGGTGTGTAAATTACTGAGTAAATGAATACCATTTGATGATCAGGTCAGTAGAAATAAGCAAAGTTCTTTTTCCTTCTGTGTTTATTAAAATAACTTGTAACTGATATCACTTGAATAATAGCCACTGAATACAATACTCTTGGAATCACTTCCTACATCTAGTATGACTCTCTGCCTGACAGGTGAATTACCTCTATAACATCTTCAGCAGGATGTTATCTTATCTCTGCTCAAACCCCTACAGGAACTGAGCCATCCAGACCTCATGAAACAGGCCATTTTTTGACAGCTCCAATTGTTCAGGAATTCTTTCTTGTATTAAAATGAAATCTCTCACCCTGTAACATCTTCATTTCTCTCTGTGACTAACTTTCTTCCATATGAGAATACTTTAAATATTTGGAGACAAATGTGGGGTGCCCCTGTTGTAAACAGTCTCTTTTCCAAATTAACATGGATCTTTTGCTTCCCCTTATACTGCATTCATGCTGTGTCTGTCTACACAATAACATACACATACACACACACATACACTAAGAGGATAGAAGAGCTCCCCAGTGCATGCTGGTGTACTCCTAGATTATTCAGTATTCAACTGTAGTAGGTATTCTACTCTAATATATTCTGGGCATATATCAAAAACTGAGTCCATGATCCAGGAATTCAGGTTTGTCTTAGATAGGACATAATTAAACAACAAAAAGAGAGGGGTTTTTTTAACCTATTCTGGAAGGGAAAGGAGGATCAAAGAAGAAGGAACCCAGAGCTACTCAATCCTTTTTTTGTTTCTTTTTTACCTGCAAATAGGGAAGAAATTTTTCACTGGACATGACAATGAGAAAAATATCAAACAGAAAAGTAAAGAGATAGCAAGACTGTATCTAACTGCCATTTATGAATTCAAGTCACTTGGCTCAAAACAACTACATCCTCTGGTCCTGAAAAAACTTGAAGATGTGATTACTAAGCTACTCTCAGTAATATGTGAAAGGTCATAGAAAACAGGTGAGGTATCACAAAATTAAAGAAAAGCAAATGTCATAACTATTAAAAAAAAAAGTGAAACTGTCTCCAAACTATAGGCCTGTGAGTTTGACTTTAACTCCTGGGGAAATTCTAGAACAGTTTGTTAAAGGGTAGATGTACTAAAAAAAAAAAATGGTGATTACAAAGAGCCAGGATGGCCTCACCAGGAATAGGATGTGCCAGGCTAACTTAATTTCTTTTTTTTTTTACAAGAATATTGAACTAATAGAAAGAGGGATTGCTTTGGATAAAGTTTATGTACATTTTTGCCAAACTTCTGATAAAGTATTAAATTATGTTCTAGTGGAGAAGATAGAGGGATATAGATTAGACAAGAATACAACCTAATAAATTCAGAACTGGATGAATGGATGCATTCAAAAGTGGTTGTTAATGACTCAATGTTAACAGGGTCGGAAATCTTCAATGGAGCATCTCAGAAATCTGTGCTTGGTTTTGGTCTGATTAACATTTTTATCAGTGTCTTGGATAAAGGCATAGATCATATGCTCATCAAATTTGCTGGTGATACAAAGCTAGGAGGGACAGCTAATACAGTGAATGACAAAATCAGGAGCTGAAAGCATCTTTACAGGAAAGAGCCCTTGGCTGAGTCTAATAAAATGAAATGGAATAGGGATGTATAAAGTCTAGCATTTGGGTACCAAAAAAATCAACTTCACAAGTATAAGATGGGGAAGACAAAGCAGCTCTGCAAAAGAACTGAGAGGGGGTCTAATAGACTGTAAGATGAATATACAATATAACGCAACACAAAAAGCATTTATTGTGTCTATTATATGGTAGGCACTATGCTGAGACGTATTGATTCAGTAGTGTGATGTGGCAGCCAAAAAAAAGCTAATGCAAGGTTGGGTTGCAAATGAATGGCATAACTTCCAAGAATAAGGAGGTGATAAGTCTCTTTACACTCTGCCCTCACTAGACCTCAACTGGAATACTGTGTTCAGGTCTGAGAACCATAGTTTAAGGAGAATATTGATAAACTAAGTATTTCCAGAAGAAAGCAACTAGATTAGTGAAGGGCCTTGAGTTTGTGACATATGGGTGGATTGAAGGAAGTGGGCAAGAAGGAGGAGAAGGGAAGACTCAGCCACAATGATAGCTCTCGTCATGTGGAAGAGGAAATGCACTTATTCTATTTGGCCCCAGAAAGTAGAACAAGGAGGAATTGCAGAATAATGGAAGTGGAATTTTTGCAAAGTGGAAATTGCAGAGAGGCCAATTTCAACTTGATGTCTGGGGCACTTTCCTAACAACTAGTGCTTTCCAAAAGTGCAATAGGATGCCTTGAGATATGGTAGTTTCCCCTTCACTGGAGGTCTTCAACCAGAGGATATATGACCACTATTTAGGTATATTGTAGTGGAGATTCTTGCATTTATAGGTTTAACTAGGCTGCTGAAGACCCTTCAAAATTTCAAATTTTATGATTCTATGAGCATTTCAGGCAGTCACAGGAGAAGAAGATAATTTTCATAGCCTTTTTTTTTTGTATATTCATCCTCAGAAATTGAGATAGTAGGAGGAATGACAGTAGGAAGAAAAGGCAAAAGTATAGTATATAGAATATTGATGAATAAACATTACATGCTTTATGGGATACTCTTCCACTAAAATTCTGCTCTAATATCTCACCTTGGTATATAGGTAACTCTGGACTCTTGAAGGTTATGTCAACAGAATGAAAGTTCTAGCCAGTCATACCAAACTGTTTGAAAGGCTTCAATCATGGTCCTGGTGGTGGACTATATGTCTGTTGGCCAAGGACTCACCTAAGTTCAAAGTATCACATCTCCAGAATAGCCACTGGGTAATGAATTTTTCATCATCACAATTTCTGAAAAACCACTAAGTTACAAAGAGGTGATCCTTTTCACTGGAGGGAGATGCCATACCAACACAAATCCAAAGTGTTTGAAGTATTTAAGAAGCAATGGATACTAAAATGAAATGTGTCATATCATTCAGCTCTCCTATGAGACATTCAACAGAGCTTTTCAGAAGACATTTAAATTACCTATTTCTCACTCTTCTTGAGTATAAAATAGGAAGAATAGTATGTGCTAACACTCAGAGATTTTATGAATTTATAAAATCATATTTAGGCTATTTTATAAGAAATTCATTGCACTATTATTATTATTATTATTATTTATTATTATTATTATTATTATTATTACGAAGGTGAATAAAAAGAACAAAATGCAGCATCCTCCCACAACCAAAGAAAATCAACTCCAGATGTTTTTTAGCTGAAAGGAAAAAAAGGCTATTTAAAAAGAAGCCCCACAATTTTATATAGATTAATGCAAAAGAAAATCTTCAGAAATTTAATTTTTCCTTTTCAAGAGCCCTTGCAATGCTTGCCCTCTGCCTCAATCTTCATTTAAACATTTCCTTTCATAATAAGCTTTCTCCTTTCATTAAAGGAAAATCAGTGCAAGAATAAAATTGAGGCAAAATTTTGACTACTGAGGTGCTTTATCAAAGATCAGTTTTTTCCTCTATTAGAAAACAATCAATTCTTTGCCCCATTATTATAAAACAAGCTACTCACATTGATTTTTCCTAGTATTTCCAGGCTTCTCATAGCTCTTTCCCAAACTTCTCATCATTCTAATCATGACCTCAATCCATTCTAATACTCAGGGGATATGTTTCAATAATCCCAGAAAATGAAAAATCTGTATTTTCTACCATGCCTATCATACCGTGGCATGGGTAGCAGCACAGCAAGTCTGGCCAGAAGAAACTAAAAGCAATAGGTCAAAATGAAGTAAGCTACAGGCTGGGCTCCGATGTATGTATGTATGTATGTATGTATGTATGTATGTGTGTGTGTGTGTGTGTGTGTGTGTGTGTGTGTGTGTGTGTATAATGCATAGGTATAAATATGTAACTCAACTCAAAGGCCAATTGTATGAGACTCTCTCCTCATGGTAGAGATTGATTACTCATTTCCCCAAACTTTCATGAGGAGTAGGCAGCAAAGGGCAGCTTGAAACCTAAAAATTACTTCTCCTAAACTAACAATATTTAAGGAAACAGATAGACATAAGTCTTACCAGGAATCCCCTTTTTCTGAGGAGAACAGAGTAGCTAGTCTCTGGCTCTTAACCTCCTGCTTCTTCTTCTGGAAGGAATCAAAGTCTTCTTTGGAGAAGAGTCAGGGGAGGAGTCTCAAGAGCTATCTATTTTTGCCTTCCTGTGAGCCACATCTAGACACTCATATGGACACTCATAATCTACATGGACTAACCAGGTAACTCCATATACCCTTCTTAAGAGACAGAAATAAACATAATAGAGATAAATAGATTAACAGAGACATAATTATAGATATATACAATTTTTTTTTCACTGTTTGTTGAGGTGGGGGAGAGAGTAATGAATTACTGTCCAAGAGGCATGGGGTAACCTCCTCCCAAACACAGATTTCCCGGAAAAGCTATCTGAGCTTCTATGTGTCAGCATCCACTCAAAACCATAATCCATAAGGCCTCATCAACAACAACGAAATTTACTTTTTTTTTAGTCAGCCAGAAGACACAATTAATTGGAAATAAACGCATTAATGCAATATCACAGTAGGAAAAATAACAATGGAACATTTCACCATAAAACTAGTTCATACTCATCCACAAACATACATGCTTTCAGTGGGAGAGAACACAAGCATTGGGAAGTTACATGCATGGAAGGACGACTCAAGCCTCTGATAGCACAAAAATAATTTTTTTCTGGTAATGTCACTGTGTTTTTCTCACTAGAAGATTATATGTATATAGTGTATTTATATCCACACACACACATATATATATGTATATATATATATATGTATATATATATACACATGCATACATGCATACATACATATTTAATACACTTAGCTCTGGCCCCACTCTCTAAGAACTACATCTGTTATATTTCCCCCCTACCTCCTCCTAAGATTCTTTGGTACATGGAGGAGAGGTGTCCACGGAGTCTTTTTCTGCCAACACCGGTTTAATCCAACACCAGTTTCATTTCCTCCATTTGTGGCCCAACAATTAGTATTCCCATTCCATTTAACCACATAACACCTGATTAGTTTTTGCAAAGGGATGTTTACTTCAAAAATATAGCATAAACAAACATACATTTTCCCCCAACACTTTAGGAGCATAATCCCCCTCAGACCATTTCACAATCTGGGAAGGGGATAAGAGAAGGCTCACAGTTTAGCTCAGTCCCATCAAGTTTAAGTCCAAAGCCAGTTATGCCAATTTCTATTGGGCTCACACCTAGACCCATACTCCTCAGGGCTGCCAGCCTAGCTGAAATATCCAGCTTAAATGCCTGGACTCCAAGATCCCCATGGCTCTAGCTCTTGGACTGAAGACTGCTCAGTGCACCTAGAATGGAAAAAGACAAAGGAAATGGCCAAAAGTTCACGCCTAAAAGGCTGAAGTGGGGTGTGGGGGTGCTGTGGAGGGTTGTTGGAAAAAGAGGAGGATGTCCTTAGTCCTTCCCTCACAGATACAAATGTAGGAAAAGTCCCACTGTGCTCAAGCAGTTTTAAAGACACAGTTCTGGCTAAGCAACCAATAGAAAAAGGCTGTTTCCAAAACTCCTGATGCTGGAAGTCTCTTCGTGTACCAGCCTTCTAATCTCCCAGAAGCAGATCAACTAGCATCTTCCATATGGGTGGTGCCATTTTAAGTCATCTAGGCATGTGTCAACCCTCCACTTACATTGCATACATACATAATTATACAAATATATATATATATATATATATGTATATATGAAAAAGATTAAACAGAACATGCACAAAATTGACTTTTCTTCTTACTAACCACATGTGCCTTACTTAGCACTGAAGGGTCTAGATGCTTTGAGATGAGGAAGTCTTCTTATGATAAGCAGCTGAGCTGGAAAAAAATTTGATGACTCAAATTGAATTTTTTTGTTTTTGTTTTTGTTTCTAGGCAATTGGGGTTAAGTGACTTGCCCAGGGTCACACAGCTAGTAGGCCAGATTTGAATTCAGGTCCTCCTGACTTCAGGGCCCTGCGCCACCTAGCTATCCGGTCAATTGATACTTAAAAGGGAGTGACTCCACTCCACCTTCAGCATACTTTCTCTTCCTTTCTGGTTTCAAATCCTGCCACTTCCTTTCAAGGATGGGGAACAGGGAAGAATAAGGGAATAAGCATTTATGTAGAACTTACTTTATGCCAGGCACTGTGCTAATCATATGTGTGTGTGTGTATGCATGTATATGTATGTATATGTATGTATATATATTATA